CCCCAGCGCAGGGCAGCCGCATCCGCCCACAAAGGCTCGAGCGGGGTCGTGTGTGTGTGTGTGTGTGTGCGCGCGCGTGTCAGGGTTGTCCCTGCATAGACCCCATCCCTTGCCCAGAGGGGACAGCCGGGGCTCGCGCTCTCTTCCCAGGACACGAATGACTGGCCTCCCCTGAGGGAGCGCGGAGAGGAGTCCCCCAGCACAGCGCACGCTGCAGCGATCCGTCAGCCTGCGCTGTCATCGCCGCATCTTTCCACCCTGCCCGCTTGGAAGCAAATCTTCCGAGCCAGGGGAAGAGTTAAAGCCGGGACATGGTTTCCTGCCACGCTCCTGAGAGAAGCCGGTGCTTCTGCAGGGTTGTGTCACTGAGGCGGCGCCCCGGGAGCCCGCCCGGGCACTCAGCCAAGGTGCCAGTGGACACAGGCGGGCTGCCCGCCTCAGTGATACCACAGCGCCACCAGCTGGGCCACGGGGGCTCAGGCACGAGCAGAGGCCGGGCATTGCACACAAGCCTGCCCTAGCTACCAAAGGGCAAACGTGACGTTTATTTTCTACCTTTGGGGACTTTTTACCATCTTTAATTTTCCCTGAGCCCGAGGAAAGGCATGTGTGTCCAAAAGCTTGCAGAAAAATATTTCCTACTTGGTCTAATAAAGGGTATCATCTCTGAACCAAGACTTCTAGGGTTTTGCATTTCTAGTTACCAAAGGGCACTTGAGCAAGACGCCAAAGCCAAGGCGCTAGCGTAACAATGTCAGCCTTCCAGCTGGCTAATAAAGAAAGGAAAGAGAAACCTCGGTGCCATGCCATCTTAGCATCAGGCCTGCCGCCTTGGCACAGCCCGCAACACGCGTCTATCTCCTGCATGGCGAGGGGTGGGCAAGAGGAAACAATAGGTAAAATGAAGCCACTCTGTGTGGAGCAGCCAGTCAGCTAGACAGATCCAAACAACCAAAACATGAGTCAAACAGTGATTCAAAAGGAAAAGCTGTCCCAAGAGGGGGGTGGCGGTGGAAGAAATAATCAGAAAGTGAGATGAGGCAAAGGCAGTTTTAAAGCATTCCTTTGACGATTGAGGACTAAGAGAAGTTAAACACCATCCTGACACCCTGATTCAGCAGTCCATTCTCAGTTTAGCAACTGATCTAAATCCATGTTTAATTTCACCTATTTCACAAAATCAGACTGAGGCCCATAATATCCATAGGGAATCGAGTTAAGCACATATTCAAAGCAGCCATTGTCAGAACACAGTCACATTGCTCTTACTCATCCTAGCTTATCTGTGAAAATGATGTTATCAGCACATTTAAAAGAGAGAGAGCTCTCCAAGGAGAATAATTAAAACACTAAGAAGATTTTTTTAAAAGAATAATAGGATGACAGGCTCCTACCGACCACCAGATATTACAGTAACCATGTAATGGAAAAGTTTAAAAAAATGTATTATAAGAAACATAAAATTTAATCTCGTGTGTATTAATGGAGAAAACACTTGAAGCAGAATGAGCACATAATTAGTATTGTTTCAACTGTGTAAATTCCAGTATTTTGCTCAATATCTTAATTGTCTGATGTCAGGTTCTCAGTTTGTTCCTAGGAAGTAATTAAAGGTAGTAATTCAATTAATTCAAGCCACTAACAAAAATAGACAGCTACAAGTCATACAATAAAGAAATTCCAGTCTCATAATTAAAACCTGGTATTTTAAAGGTATTTAAGACACCTGTGCTTAGAGATAACCAAACATCATTTGAAAGTTTCTCTATTTTGTACTTCTAGTTGAAAGAATGACTATATAAAATAGTACCTTCTCAGCCAGTTCCAGGAGTATCTTCAGCCTTTGTGTGCCATTAGAAGTTAAATCAGTGTTTTGTTACTTTTTTCAGAAAAGATCCCACTCCATCCTTTTTGTGGATCACTGTTTCTTAGATTCCAATTAGACAGCTAATCTGTTTCACCTGTGTAAACCTACTGCAGGCACTCAAGGAGGCACAGAAGTGTCAGTAAAGACATGAGTTGTAAAATGATTATGCTCAACAGGTGACATATGTGAGAAGGAAGAAGCTCAGTTTCAGTTGCAGAGTCCAAGCTACAAATTGTAGGAATGGCAGCTAGTACAAAACTTGTAAAATGTAGCTTATCAATGACACCACTGGAACAGTGATGGAAGGTGGGGCAGGATAGCACCTACTTCATCAGATGCTATCAGATGTAAGATGTCAACTATGGAAGTTTATGCCTTTCTGTGCTACCCTGCCTAACCTTCTTTTGGACTTCAGACTAACATGATTAACTACTTTTCTCAACCCAAGCATGTCACTTTTACATAGGTACTTCTTAGAACAGAACTCCACTTTGGGGAAGTTCTAGTCCTCATTGTCCTCTGTGGCTAAGGCAGGTTCTGGTACTAGTGTACTTCTGCTAAAGGAGGAGAAGGTTCCATCCAAAGGGAAATTATACAGAATGCACATATACCATATGGCTAAATACACAGTCAAAAAGCCCAAGGCTGAATCAATACAAAGGTTAGTCTAAACTGAAGAGATTAAATTGAGAAACAAATGGATATACCTTCACTTTTGATTCAGAAAATGCAGCTACATGCCTGCAGTGGCTTAGGCCAGAAGCCAGAGGGTACTACAGCTGCCTGGCATAGCCAGCATGGCCTCTGTGTTTGCTTCCTCTTTCTGCTGCCCCCAAGGTCTCTGGGATTTGCAGTCCAGAATCACAGAAGTAGAACTCTGCAGGGTTACTCATGACTTCTTTCTGCTTCCAGGTGCCTCTGGGATTTGTAGTCTGCATTAATAGCTGACAGTAACTTCCACTAAGTTTAAAAGGGCAGGGCAGCCCTGTACTCAGGGGAAGTGGGGTTTAGCTAGGGGAAGATGGTTTAACCCTCATCCCTGGCCCCAGACCCCAGCTGGGGTTTACCTGGGGGCAGTCCCTGCCTCCCCCCACCCTACTCCAACTCACCCCTTCTCTGCTGGAGCAGACAGCCCAGCCCAGCCCAGCCCAGGGCTGGAAAGCATGCTGGGATGCTGGGGGACTCTGTTGTAACTTGAATCAGGAAGGGGTCTGGGACAGAAGTTTCATAAACTGGTTTCACCCAGATCAGTTAAGTCTGATACTACATTCAGCCTGGTTTATCTTAAACCAGTTTCAGCCATTTTGAAACTGGTTTATGTGCGTTAAACTTTTGTTCTATTACAGGTTTAAAACAGTTTCTGATGACTTAAACCTATTTATGTATAACTTCTGTCCCTAACCTACATGGTGTGAAGCCCACTGTGTGGGACATGGAGAAACTAAGGTCTTTCCCACTGTAGGCATCCTTTTTTGTTTAGCTGCAGGGGATGTACGAAGGCCCTACACAGGCTACTTTGACCTCTTGGTTTTAGACACTTCCTCAATGGATATGTGTGTGTGTGCGCGTGTGCGTGCATTTATATATTTACATATGCATTTGCTGCATGGATGTTCCTAGTTGTAAAATTGGAGCTGGTCAAATAATCCAAGGGCCTGTCTGAACTCTGAATGGGATCTGGCTTGAGTTAGTTAATATCATTCTTGCTTTCCTCAGGTTTTTCAGCAGGGACAAACTTTCAAAGAGATGAGGTTTTTATTGATTAAGCAAGTGGGTTATGAACAAAAATATTGGTGAATAAGTAAGAATGCTCTCTGTATGATATTTTGGTATTTTTTAAAGTTTCAATTTTCTCAAAGGCACACCATAGCATAAAATAACGTATCTTACATAATCAATAACCAAGCTAATTATTTAGAGGCTGAAAAGTTTGGCATCTACTGACAAATACTTTTGAAGGAATCAGGTTCAGTTTCCAAATGACTCAGAAATATAACTGGCTTAATTTATCAGCTAGTTTACTCACACCATACCACATTTTACTTCATGTAAATACACGTTTTTAATACGCTTTCAGGTATAAGAATCTGTACTGGTATCTACTTCCTGTATTAACGTTTGAAATAAAAGTCCCCTATCTCCCAAATCAGAAGTGACTATGTATAGTTAGTTGTCCTGTGGAGTCTTTCTCCCCCTCCCTGAGCCACCACTTTTGTTATTCCAACATGTGAAGCACCACTCTTTTATCACAGTGGCTCCCCACTGCTCTTTTTCAACAGGCTATGCCCTTTACTGGTGTGCAGACAGTAACATACAGGCCTTGTGAAAGGTAGTCATAGCAGCGCACAGAAGAACCAGTGTCACACTGTGTAGCTTACCTGCCTTGGAAAAGTCCTGCACATACAGATGACTTAAGATGATATATACTCTAGAGCAATGTGTGTTCCTTTGCAGGGATGAGGTAAATATATTCACTACCTGGGGCTCTATTGTTCTTAAACACATCACAGTGCTTTGAGTGAGGTTTATTTTGCTTTGCTCACATTGCCTGTATGGAGGTATTTAAAGTTATACAAACTGCTTAGGAAATGCAGTGTGTTGTTTGATTCAAGAAACAAAGTGTTTCATCATTTGTAAAGCCACAGTTTTGCAGAGAGATAAAAATTATCCAAGCAACAGCAGAAATTATTCTATAAGGCTTCTAAAAATTACAATGGAGACACTTTTCTCTAAACACTGTTTTGTAAATCAACACACTTCACTTGACTATACAACATAAAATGCTTGTTTTACGTTGGCTGTCATCCAGTAATGGTCATTCCTTAAAGAATACGTTGCACATTAGGAATATAAATTTAGTTATTTGTTTTGTTCTTTGTTACATGTTTCTTTTATCTCATTTCCCCATGTGTAAGCAAAATAATTAGTAACAACAGCGGTCAAAAGTGATTATTCTTGCCATGGGCTACAGTGAATATCCATATACACAAAACTGAACAAGACCTCCCCACTGTGTATGTTTGAAGAAGCATGTCCATGGACAGTGGGGGAGGAATACAATTTATTAGCAATGTTGGAGTGCTTTAAGGCTGGTACAGTGATTCTCAACCTCTTTTGCCAGTGTGACTCTTACTTGTCCATCCTCTTTGGATATACCATCCTTGTGAGTGAAATATAATGCAAACCAATTTAAGGATTTTTTGTTTTCAGATTGATGCGGTGCCTCTTCATCCTCAGCAAATCCATACTATGTTTACCAAAGTCATAATATGCTTCCATCCAAGTTGATTTCAGTTACTTCCCCTTTTCTTTTCTCCCAGCTGCACTAGGTACCTGGCTGGAAAGGGAACCAGCTTGTGGAAGGTGCTCCCATGGGTTCAGGTATGGTCAGTGCATTGCCTGTCTTGTTCCCAATGCAAGCTCCCTACAGCCAGACAAGGAAACAGGCAACATAATAGTCAGAAATGTTCTTTCACCTTTTCCCCCCTTGTTTCACCTGGTCTTTTTTCTCATGAAGCAGCAAGTGGAAGGAGAGTCTTATGGTTAAAGTATAGGTATCAGATCCAAGAAACTTGGGTTCAATTCCTTTTTCTGTCTAAAGAAAAAAGGGAAAAACCCTAATCCCTATGGGTGCATCTGTCTACATGAGATGCTTTACTGTACAGCAGACTCATTTGCTGCACAGTAAAGCATCACTATTTACACATGTGTGACAATTAGGGTGCAGTAGACTAATTTATTGCACTGCTGGATAGTCCTGTCAGATATAAGTGGTATCTGGCAGCACAGTAAATTACTGTACTTAAGCACATGTATAGATGGTGGCATTGGGATTAATTTATTCTAATTCAAGTTGAGTTGGAGTATATTTAGTCACATTAACTGCATGTGTAGATGCACCTTTTGTGTTTAAAGCAGGGGTGTCATCCATATAGCCTGTGGGCTGGGTCTGGTGACTAGGCTATCAGTGAGCCAGGGAATTTCAAGCTATGCCCAGTAGCAGGCTTGACCTGTCAAAATCCAGATTCCTGGGGCACTGGTGGATATAACCAGCAGAGGGAAGCAAGGGTTATGCCCATATTGCCTTGCTTGCCCTACTAATTTTTCACCCACAGCCATGTGTGCTGGTTCTACTAGTGCAAATGGCCACCTGACCTGTAGTTGCTTCTCCTTACTTGCTGCTGAGGTGGCTGCTACCACTGCTGCTATTGCTGTATTGTGCTTTGAGCTGGATCTATTCTGAGATGAACCCAGTGGTCCAGTTGTGGCTCACAGTGAAGGGGAGTTTGAAACCCCTGGCCTAGAGCACTGTATGTGTTGCCTCTGTGCCATATCCAGGAGCACTGCCAAGAAGCATACCTTGCTCATTTCCTTCCACCCATTGCATGCCAAATCCTAGTATATCTGACTTTGAGGGCGCAGATAGAAGTGACATTTGCTGTGTGATCAGCCCCCTGAAAGTTTTCTATAGGTGTGCTGTGAAAAAAGTGTACGGGATCAGATGAATGGTACAAAGTGGAGTACCTTAGGGAACTACTGTCAATCCCTCATGGAACTGGAGTCCAGTCCCCATCCCCGTCCCCATCCCCAGTGCTGCCTGCAGGAAGGGAGGGGAGGGAGATTTGCTCAGCCTGATCTGGAGGAGGGGGGTATGTGCATTGGAGTCCCCCTGCCTTGTGCCTCCCCTTCCCCTGCCAGCTTAGGCTGGGCAACCCCCCAACCTGCAGCTTCCTCCCCTCCCTTCCTGCAGGACAGCACTAGGGCTGTGGGGGAGGTTAGAGTTGCTGCATGCAGGCAGCTCCTCTGCTGGATCAGTTCTAAAGTGGAGCTTGATTCCCCTACACCCCCTTGACTCAACAGTAAACATCTGTTGTGGGGAGCTCACTTTAACTCATGGTGCTTTTTGTGAAGCACCATGAGTCAGAGCAGGGACTTGCACATCTGCAGTGCCCTTAGTGGCCATGATGGTACTCCTCTCTGTTTTGGGCATGCTTCTTGTCATGTACTCAGGGCCATTCTAAGGTGATGGCCCTACTTTATTTTGGGGATTTGTCATGTGCTGAGTGGGAGCAAATGGATGTGGTATGTTTCTTGGACATGGTCCTGAGCACAGCACAGAGGCTGTGTAGACATGCCCTTAATTACCCAGCTGTAACTGAGGATAATTGCATTCTATTAATTATACCAATTCTTGTCAAAGTAAATTAGTATTTGTAAGAACCTTTGATTATATCAAAGGTGATGTGGCATAAACACCCAGTAAGTTAAAGGTCAGGTTGCTCAGACAGGAGATGCTAATGAGTCTGTAACGATGAGTCCCAGTACCTACTCTGCTACCTGTTGCTGTTCCCATATGCAGTCTCTGGAAATCCCATCCAGCCTCAGAATGGGAGATTGTCTGGAATACTCATGCAGATACAGTCGCACAATCATACAGAGGACAACAAATTTCCATGCTGTTTCAAACAAGTTACAAAAATATTGGGGGAGGGAAGAGTGGAGGGAGAAGTGTTATTTGCACCAATAAAACAAAACAAAACAAAACCTGACCACACTGTGCTGACTGGTCACAGAAACCAGCTTAAACCTCTAGCAGGGGTGTGACACTGTTAACTATTATAGATGCAGTGATTTAATCACACAGTTTATGGGGAAAAAATAAAACCTACACTGGGTTCATCTACATGTGCGCTTAACTGTGCAGTAGACTAATTTGCTGTGATGTAAAGTTTCACAGTCTACATGTGCAATGCTATTAGACAGCAACAAATTAATGTTTACTGCCATAAGACAGTACTACCTTATTGCAACAAAAAAACCCTGCACCTAAACACACATGTATACGCTGACCCAGTCATTAGGGCTGTGCAAAATTTTGACAGATGTTTTGTTTCAAAGGTGTTTTGATACATTTCAAGCTCAAAACACCAAAACTGAAATGAAACACAAGGCTTCAAAACAGCTTTGAAATGAAATGAGGGCACTCAAAACATTTTGAAAATTTTGAAGAGTTTTGAGTTTCAAAGCCGGGTTGCAGGGAAATACAAACTAAGGAGAGTGAGGGGGAAGAGTGGGGAAGGACTTCTCTGATATTGACATGTGTAACTGGCCAGTGTAGCTGTAGCTGTGATCCTTCCCTGAGGTCCTTTCCAATCCCAGTGTTCTGGAGGAGGGACAGAGAAGGAGCATAAAAGCATTGTTTGAAATGAGCTTTGTCAGCTGTGCCTTTGTCAGAATACTGAGTTGTGTGCCCCAGCAGCACCAGGAAGGCTCTCACTTCTCACTTCCTGCTTGTTCCTAGCAAGTGGGATCCAATCCTTTCTGAAATACCCTAGTACCTTTTCCTAATCCATTCCTTTCAATTTATTCTTCCCCGCAAATCCTTTTTTTTGTTGTTGTTATTCTTTATAATTCTTTCTCTACATAAAAGAAATCTGTTTTCCCTGACAGTCTGTATTGACTGTGCAGGAAAGCACAACATATATTACAGAACATATATTTATGTATTACATAAATACACACAGACTTTCCAGCACATCAAACATGAAGCGTTCTGGAAAGGCAGGTGGCCACTCTTTTGGCTGGGGTGGAAGAGGGGGCAGAGGGAGAGCTCTAAGTTCCTCCCCCAGCACCAGAACTTAGCTGCTTCTGCTGCTAGTGGCACCAAGGAGATGGGAGCAGTGTCTGCACCCCTCCTATAACACCTGCCGTAATAACAACTCCAAGCACAACCACCATGATAAGAACAAGCAGCACCAGCATTATAGTCACCTCCACCCCACCTCAATTCCCAGCCTGAGCCTTCCAGGGCCAGATGAAGAGCTGAATCTGAATCTAAGTGCCATAGCACAGGAAATTCTGGGGAAAGAGGGGGACTTATCTGAGTTTGTGCTCCACACCCCTCAAGTTTCCCCTAGAGCCAGGTCACCTTCCCCAGAAGGCACTTTGGAGGAGGTTGAGGTAGAGGTTGTGGAGGCAAGTGGTTCAGCTGAGTCCACTCCTCATGTTGCTGTGCCTCTGCCTGCTGAGGAGGGGGAAAAGGCACCATCCTCACACGCACTCACACCCCAGAAGCTAATGGGTAGTGTGGTGTGGGTTCATTCTGAGTTAGCAGATGATCCCACATATGCTACTTGCCTGCACTGCCAAGCCAAAACCGTCTAGGGCAAGGGACTGAAATGCATGACAACTACAGGGACGCTGATGCATCTCCGTAGTCATCACCCCCTTGCCGTTGCTTCTCAGCCTGGCACCAGTGGAGCATGCCCAAAGGGAAGTCCCCCTCCTGCTTGAAAGCTCCCGTCCCCTCAAAGCAGAGGCAGGCCACCCTGCAACAGTGGGGGAAAGACAGGCACACAGGGAGGCGCGTTCCTAAGGTAAGCAAGGTCACCCAGACTACTGGGGAGATGCTTGTTGTGGATGGCCAGCCCTTCTCCTTTGTTGAGTGACCAGGGTTTAGTGGCTCATGGTGCTCATGGCCCCATCGTACAAAGTGCTTACATGCACCACTTCCAGCAGGACAGTGGTGCCCTCCTTCTATGAGGCATGCAGGGAGTACTTGAGGAAGGAGCTGAACAAGGCAGGTCAGCAGGTGGCCTTACACTTCACCTTGGACATCTGGAGCAGCTGGGGTGGAGATCATGGCATGCTCACAGGGCACTGGTATGACCAGTCAGGCTGTCAGTGGACTCTCCTTCAAGCCAGAGTGATGGATGAGCCCCACCTGCAACACAGATCATGGGGGACATGAACTGCATGGTGCAGGGGTGGCTTGTTTGGCAGGGTGAGCTCACCCATGGGTTCATAGTCACCCACAATGGGGCCAATATGGTCAAGGCCATTCATGATGCCAACGCATCTGCTGTGTGGCATATAAGCTGCACCTCGTAGTGAGGGACACCTTGGAGGGTGACAGGGCTGCTGGTGAGGGTACTGTCACAACCAGTCAGCTTATTTCAAAATGCAGAAAGGTGGCAGGCTACTTCTACTGCAGCATCAAGTGGGGCAAGATGCTGTGGGACAAACAAGCAAAGCTGAACATCCCACAGCACAAAATCATGGAGGATGCGGAGACTCGGTGGAACTCCACGTACCTGATGCTCAAAAGGTTGGTCGAGCAACAGAAGGCCATTCATGAGATGGCCTTGTGTGGGGAGATT